ACGTAGAGCAGCTAACAATGCGTGGATCAGATGAGCTGAAGCAGATTGTTTGTATAAAGGAGTAGAGAGAAAACAGATTTAAAGGAAATGGGACCAAGTTGCTGAGGGTCTGAACTGAGGTCAATCTCATGAAAAGAGATTTCAATCTATTTTTCTGGATCTCATTTTCAAGAGAATTATCGTGCTTGTACTGCATGGATTTGCTGGCAATTCTTAAAAGTAGAATGCATACTAAAGAATTTATTTTAAAATTTAAAATACCATAGCACCCTCCCCAAAGAAAAAGGTGAAGGATATGTGATGGGCAAAAGGTTGACAGTCATTGAGGCTGGGCAATGTGAATATGGAGTTCATTGTACTAGTCTTGCTATTTTAATACAAATTTTATTTATTTATTTTATTTGAAATTTTCCATAATATTTTTTAAAGCAGGAACATGTAATCTTCAAGGAGATTTAAGGACAATGGGTTTTACACTTGACTTTCTCAATGGGAGAAAATCACAAGGACACACAAGATTAATATGACAATCCATTTCCTTGAAAATGAATCTTAATTCCTAGAATCACCCTGAAGGTATATCAAATCAAACCACTTTTGCTTCCATGTCTGACTGTTGAGCAGAATTTATGTGACTGTAATAGTTCTCAGTCCTGTGATTAACAGCATCTCCATGTAGATACTATGCTTCACTGGGTAATAAGAAAAAAAAATTAAAGGTTCTACATTACTCTCCTTGAGGACTGACGATAAAATATGGGCCTTTTTAAATATAAATGAGGGTGATACTACAAATAAAAGCATCAGGGTTAAAAAGTTGATATACTCATTTAGGATTTTTTTTCCCACGGTGGGTGAGCCAGATTTGCAGTAATCTGCAATTTTACCTTATCACCTACAGCATGCATTTGAGCTGGAGTTGTCTCTACTGTTGTGAAATATCAAAACTAACTTTTTATTCTGCTTGTGATTAAGATTACAGAAAGTTGCAAGAGAGCATTACTCCCATCCTAACAACCAAAGCAAGCTGGATAAGCTATAAAATCATTGTTCTTAAAATCTACCAGAGAGATGAGGATGCAAAGAAACCTAAATAAACTAGACTCCAAAACGTTCCAAGCAATTCATAGGAGAAAAGAGACCCATGGCTTCCTCATTCTTGGCAGAGCAATAGATGGAAGTAAGGAAAAATAAGTAAAAGCTTTAATGAATTTTTAATGACTGCATGTAGACTGGGATGACAGATTAGAATTCAGAGGAACCCTATGCAGGGCTGTACCCACCCACCAAACTTTCTCATGGTCTTTTCCAAGTGCACAGGTAATCACAAAAGACTGAAGGCTGGAGAGGAGAGCTGACAGAAATCCCCTTTTAGGCAAACAGATCCTCCCCCAAGTGCGAGAAAGCCACTTTCTTAAGATGGGAGGCAGAGGAGAGCTGAGAGAAACTCCTCTGAGACATTCAGTGACTTCTGAAAGGGCTAAGGTGTCTCCTCTCTGAAGGCTGGGGGCAGTGTAGTTGGGCAAAGAAAAATCTCCCAAGGCTCAGAAAGGTGGGGTATAAAACAAGATATAGATCATTCCATGGGATTTTCTGGAATGATGGAAATGTTCTACATCTTGTCTGGATAGTGGTTACATGGGACACACAACTGTCAAAACTCATTTCAATGAACACTTCAAAACTATGAGTTTTAAGGTATGCCTCAATTTAATAAAAAACAACACAAAAAGGAATTTGATGTGAAAAACAAATACTAACTGATCCTTTCAATCACCTCCGCAGAAGAGACTGACATTAGATTTTGAAGTCTGGTCTTTTCCTCTGTGAGCTGGTAACTGGAAGCCAACAGATTTTAATGATGCTCATTTAGATACAGTGTGGATAAGCTGCGGCTGGTCTCAAAGTTTTACAAGGACCTTCTAAAAAATTCTGTTTGCAGGTTGAAGGGATATACCAATTGAGAAATCTATAGGAAAACTGGTGAAGATGAGAAGAAATAAGGACCTGATGATTCCAACAATAAACAGGAATAATAAAAAAACCTGCCTTTTTATCTCAAGGCATAGTTATTCTAGAGTTCTAATCTCTGTCTAAATGCTCTAATGCCCCCATTTTCCTGCTCTTTCCCCCTGAAAACACACCCCTACCACTAGGAAGAAGAAAGCTTGTCTTCAGGCTAATGAAGCTGAAAGGAAAAGGCCTTCCTTCCTCTGACAGGATGTTCTCAGGGCCTCATGAGAGGAGCCTCACTAGCGGGGGGGGATGCATGTCACTTCTACTGCACCTGCTCTCATAATCTAATTATGGCTGAAATGAAAAGAAGGAAATTAAGTCCTGTTGATGGTACATCCTAGGAAAGATTCAGGGTAGGAACTAACATGGCTAGGCAGAGAGAGGACTCAGCAGCCTCTCAGAAGCAGTGCCCCCAATTTCTTCTCTCTACTAACCTTCTGAGTTATGGTGGCAGCATGGCCTAGTGGAATGACAATATCTAAAGAGAATAATAATGGTACCGAACATTGACTGAGAGATGAGTATGCGCCAGACGCTATGCTAAGTCCTGCCTATCTATTAATTTGACCTGTATAGTACCTTTGAGGCAAGTACTATTATCATCACCATGTTACAGACAGGATACTGAAAAGGGTCCACAGCGGAAGTAGTGGAGTCCTGCATTTGAAACAAGGCAGTCTGCCACAAAAACTCAATGGCTAGCAGTCCTTCCACAAGAAACAATATGCTGCTTCCCCAAAGAATGGAAATAAAGCAGATTCTAGAGTTAGATAGTCCTGAGTTCAAATCTTGATTTTACCATATACTGGTGATAGAGCCTTTGAAAGGACAGTTTCTTTAAAACAGAGGTAATATCTATCAACCCATAAAGTTATTGTGAGAATCACAGTCAATTAATATAAACAGCCTGGTTCCTAACAGGTTTTCAATAGATGGTAGTTATTAATGACAATCATATTACCTCTTTTCAATACTCATTTCTGAATTATTTACCTATATTAACATGTGTTCATATATGTGCGTGTGTGCATGTATGTGCATGCATACACAAAATATACATAAAGGTATTGATATGGGTGGGAGAGGAGAAAAGAAGGATAGAATATAAGTTGTTTTTCATGATCTGTCTCTCTCTCACACATACACACACACAATTTTTTTGTAACTTCTTTCCCTAGAGGTACTAAACATAGCAACTTACCATTTTAATTAAGGTTTTCAAATTGACACGCACACAAGGGGACTATTGCCCTAGAATATATAGTATCCATAGGAATTGAGAGGGTAAACATTTCAATTTACAAACATCGAGCCATCTTGGTGTACCAGCAATAGCACAGGTCTTGGAACCACCCAGACATCAGTTCAAATCTTTGTTCTACTAATTTGTGGCTATGTAACCTAGAGCAAAAAAGGTTACTTACCTTCTGGACCTTCAGTTTCTCTCATCTGTAAAATGCAGATAATTATGCCTGGTAGTTTGTGCTAGTAATTATAATATGTGTAAAACACCTGATCTCTAGTGGATGTTCTACAAATGGTAGCTAAATCATAATCAATATTAGGCATCTAAGTCCTCTATCATAGTCATACCAGAAGTCAATCAGAACTTCCATTTGTTTTCCGTGAATCTTATTGTAACATCTTATTATACTTGCATGTCAATTACTGGAGTCTCTTCCAGAACTTGCCCAAAGACAAGGCTTAAAAATTCATTAATTTAAAGTTTTCCTTGATTAGTTACAAAAAGAATTAAGTTAGGAAACAATCTCTTTTTAAGTCAGTGGAATTTTTATTGCAAATTAGCTTATGTTTTTTGTTAATTAGGTTTTTTCCATAATGAGAATTTTAATTAAAATTCTTTAAAATCTGGAGGAAAGTATTTTCCTCTGTATTTTAGGCAAGTCCTTTTAGGCAATAGGCTAGCTGGCTGAAAAACTGAAAATTAAACTCTTTTCTGTTTGTGGCCTTTAAAACACATATACAAACTCACACACACAAACACACACACACACACACACACACACACAAAATCAAACATGGAGGAAATAGAGAGGGAAGGTTTGAGAAAAGTCTGAGAAAACTTTACCAGTAAGGAAAGATGTCCAGAGAGCAGTAGAATATGAAAACAAGAGAGAAAAAGGGTCATGCCAGAGTTGCCCAGGAAAAATACAAAACATCATCTTTGAAAGGGATGTTGTGGGCACTCACTACATAATATCTATAGAAGTGTTCTAGTCTCCTGAGAGATGGGCACTCTATCAATACAAGGCATTATGGTTTCCGTCTTTACAATTGCAAGATTGATATTCTTTGGTAAAATTCCACATTCAGCATAGAAGGGACACAATTGGAAGTCTGAAACAGCACTTTCTCCTTTTTCTCCAACACAAAAGTCTCCTTCCAGTGTGCCACCTTCCATGCAAAACAGCTCATTTTTAAAGCTTAGTTCCAGTCTCTTAAAGATCCTTGGTTACAAGCCATGGGAAAGGATATCATGTGACGGAGGCACAGTCCTTTCCAAATGACAGGGGAAATGTCCTGCTACAATCATCCTTAGTGAAGAGAACCCCGCACCATTTGGTTAGTCAGAAGAATTCTTCACCATACTAGAAACGGAGAGAGGATACCATGCTCTTACTTTTCATCTTCTCTCACTTTCCCTTATGAAAATATTGCAAGATCACAATTAATGGGATATAGCACTTTAATTTCTAAGAAGGTTTAAAAAGTATGTTACTGAAGTAAATGCTGGCTTCAGGGGTTTTTTTGTTTTGTTTTGTTTTTAAGGCAAAAAGAAAGCTGATTAGAGAAAGGAAAGTGTTCCTTTTCTGTTCCTCCATTACCAATGATTATTAAATATGTGTTCATGCTAGGACTGCTGAATGGTGGGCAACATCATATTATGAATATTATAAATATTACAAACAGAGTATACAATATGCAGTCAGTAGATAAGTGATTTGAAATATTAAGTCACTTACCATATCAGTAGAAGAAATAGTTGGCAAATCCTCTGGAGCCAGTGTAGCATCATTAGATATTGACATATTAACTGTAGGAAAAAGATGACTTTTGACTACAAAGATAAAATAGAAACAACCTAAAACCATAATTATGTATTTTAAAAAGCAGAGTTAGGCATTAAAAATATCTTCCATAACAACATAAGGGCATAATGAATTTTTATTTATTATAACTGTGTTCACCTTTCACCTAGATAAAATAACGAAAGATTTGGACATATCTGTTGTGCTCTAATATGATAAGAAACAATGACAAATATTTAAGGAGATGGTATTAAAATTTGTTTCTGGTTTCAAAGAGACAAAACAAAACTTTTTTGTTACTAAAAGTCACTCAATGTATTTTGCCTAGTGGAATAAAAGACTGATAATAATTGACTAAATTGATCACTAGATTCATACACAGTAAAATCTCACAAATTAGAGCTTTCTAATTAAGAATTAACTAATTTGTAACTTTTGGAAATTTGGACTGCTTAGGAGAAAGTATATCTTTGAAAAATGTGTGAAAAGAAAAAAAGTACTAAATAAGTAATACAAATATAATGGGGGTGAATATAGCATCATTTGTATATTTAAAATGTTATTTGCAGAAGAACCTAATTTATTTATTAAACCAACCCTCCTATTGAAAATATTTCACTAGTTTTCTTTCTTTTATTTTATGGGTCTGAAAATTAAAACATAGTATTTAAAAAGTATTCTGTGATTAAAATATTTTTCTTTATAATCTAAGCCTTTTTCTAATTATGCGAAGCTTTATGTATAATAAAATAAACTGTTACTCAGAAAACATCTCTAATTTATGGAAATATTGTGACATAACACGAATCAGGTTTTTGTTTTGGAGGATCAAAGACACAAACCACATAGTTCATTTAACACCCAAATTGCTAATTATTGTTTGGTCTCCTTCCCCTCCCCCCATGCTCCTAGCTTGTCCTTTTAGTCTTCCATGTTTTAGGTCCTGCCTACATAACCCTTTAAGATAAACACACAGGTTTATTTGATGGCGGAAATCTAGAATATAAGGAGCATGTCTTGTTCACTGCTTTTCCCTAGACTCTACCCAGTCTGGCTCTTAACTAACAGAAACTTATAAATATTTTTTACCCCAAAAAAGAAAGAAAGATACAACAATCACAATAATGTGTTGAATTTTCAAAGGGAGAAAATGGAACTGAGGCCACCAGAAGTGGGTAAGGGGAAGGAGGAGGGGAAGGTTAGCAAGAAATGGTAAAGGGCCACGAAAAATGATTACATTATGTGATAATAAATATAGTAATACAAAAATTAATTAAATAAAAATATTTATTTACTGTCAGTAAAGGAAGTTAGGAAAGGCAGCATTTCATGACTAAAAATGAATGAAAGCAGATAAAGCCAAAAATATTAAACAAGGAAAACAGTCTAAAGGAGAAAAATATTTAGCTTGAGTCCTACTTTTGCTCAATTTTGCAATCCATTCTGATCTTTGAAGGTTCTGGATTGTAAAACTATTAACCTAGAGCTAGCTGCAAGAGCTTCCCTATTTCAGCAGTAAAACAAGCACATGTGTACACTGTATGCTTATTGTCTCATTACAGATCACAGAGAATCAAGATAGGCTAAAGGATGCTTGGCCCAAAACCTACATTTTTTTTACTATTTTGTTCTAAAAAGCTTAAAGTGCATTTTCTCACATTATTCCATTTGTTCACTTAAAACCATCCAAGAGCACATAATAGGTATGATATTAGACCCATTTTACATCGGATGGGACTCAGAAGCAAGATATGCAGGTTTCTTGCCCAGGATTACAGAGTCAATCCCAAGCAGAGTTGGTATGAAGAATTTGCTCAGCATTCTTTCTTCTCCTATCCAGCATTCCTAATTCCCCAAATCAAGATGATCTATGTGGCCACAGAATCCAGGTGGGACAGTACTCGCCAATGTTAGATGATGTGTCTCTCAACTATGAGCTGAAATGTCTGATCTGTCTAAGTTTTTGAAGAAAAATAGCATATGTGAAATCACAGGCACTATTTAGATGGTGTCTGGGAAGCTGCTCTTCCTGAGCTAGATTCTTTAATGCAATTTTATAAGCTTCCTGTCACAAAAGATTGGAGGTCTTTTTGCAACACATTTCTTTTTTCATAAAAATAAGGGGTAAGGAGTGAGGGAGAAAGATATTCAAGCTTCCTTCTCTGTGAAGGATTCCAATCTGAACTTTTAGTAACTGCTCTCAAGTTTTGGATACACATCAATTCTGCTCATTTAAATTCCTTTTATCTTTTCAGTTTTCCTCTGAGACAAGCTATTAAAACACAGTGGCTCTCAAAATCTCAAAAGACCATCATCAAAAGGACAGTAAAAAGTATATAATACTTTCCCTGCTTATTTCAATAAGCAGCTGCTTCAGAAGAAAGACTTCAAAATAAATATATATAAAAAAGCACTTCCATAAATACATATTGGCAGGATATGGTAGAGTCCATAAATAAGATCAAAAGTAAATTTCTTTAGGCTCACAGAAGAAAAAATGATCAGCTCCAATTGGGAGCTTGGTCTATAAGACTCATAGGTCACCGTTTGGATCCAGACATATGGTGCAAGTATTTTGGAAACCAATCACAGAATGACCTGTTTATATGGAATCTGCAATATCCTTAATTAGGGTTCTGGAAAGGACAAATGGAAAAGCCAAACACACTGCCCTCTCTCTTCGCCATTTGCTCAGCACCACGGCATATGAAGCAAAAGAACTCCTTGCCCTGGGAATCTAGCTCATTTAGATTTAGCCGATTATCACTGGGGCAGTCTCTGTCCTCTACTTGGTTTAAGGGAATTTCCAGAGGTTGATCATTTTCAGTTTCTTGGATTTTCACTTTATTACTCTTTCCCATGTATCAAATTTTAGCAGATCCTCTGGAACAGGGAAATGAAAATTGTCAGTAATAGACATTCAAAAATGTGTCTGTGACTTTTCCATCTGAGATTGGCTTTTCCTCTTTTATTATTAATGAGAGAAGTATGGCTGTGGCTGTGGGAGATAAGAGCAGAAAAGGAAGGTGACATCCATGTGCCAGTGTTGGTGCGCCTCCTGTACAAGGAATATCCATTGCACTGTTAAAGCTTGTACCTCTTTATCTTCTAGTGACCTGGCACCAGGAACTACCCCATGGCTCATCTGCTTTACACATGAGCAGGACTGTACCATCAGGAATGCACACAAGCTCACTTGAGGCCATGAGGTAAAGTATAAGCAACAGGTGGTCACGGAGGGCAGATGTGTCTGCTCTGATGCACAACACATCACAGTGCAGACAGGGGAGTGTAGGAGAGCTGGGCATGGATTCTGGCTCCAGCACCAGAGCACTGGTTTGAGCACTATGCCCTCAAACCCCCTACCACAGAATCTTGAGGAAGTTACCTCAGTCCTCAAGATCGCAGGTACCTCATTTGTGAACCTGGGTATGAAACCATCCACCTCATAAGGTTACTGTGCAGATTAAATAACACAATGTAGGCAATATTGATAGCACAGTGTCCAGTACCAGGAAAGATCTAAATAAATGGTAGCTAAGATTGCTACCAGCTCTAGGACCTGGAGAAATCAGAACTTGTCCCTGGGAAGAATGTCAGCTACCTCTCAAGATTTTTGTCATGATTAAATATACATATATTGCATTATTAAAATACATTTTATTAAAATCCCCTAGTAAAGTATTTGGCATTTGGAGGGTGCTTAATAAATATTAACCTAATCTGAATCTGTAACCTCAACATATGAGTAGTTTCTTAGGGTTACAATAATGTAGAACTGATTAACCTGATGTGAACAAGTAAAACTTTAAGACTATTCTCTATGATAATAAAACTTTAATGTTTTATTTTCTTCTACTTAAGCAATATCTTGAGGAAACTGAATAACTGAAAAAGAGGTACAGGATAAAACTGAATAAGCTTCTTGCTACGTGGTCATGTGAGATTTATGTAAGGGTCCTGAATAACTTGAGCACACTAGTGCCTCTTGATAAATTCAAATATTTATACTTTAAATTTCTAGGTCAATAAAAGGGCAAAAATGGCTTTTGTAGGAATGACAAAGTGAATCAGGAAAACTCTGGGAGAAGTACCTCTTAGGGGAATTACCTGCCACTGTCTCAGCCTTAAGTCTTAAAACAAACAAAATTAATAGTAAGTTTTTCTTTGCTTTTTTCCTATTATCCTTTTAGTTTTCCAAAGTATTTTTTACCAAGTCTTATTGCTTGAGATGTTCACTGCAACTAGGCAAGTTCAAGTTATGATACTCTTCAATCCACAGGCACCCTTCACAAGTTCCCCTATGATGCTCTGCTGGAAGTTACAGAGCTGATCTGCTACTAGGACATATTTAGCAACTATTTTCACAGAAACTTATTTTCCATACTCACCCATCATTACATCTAGGATGTGCTATAGACATTATTCTGGATAAACTTTTCCAAATCTGTGTTTTCTATAAACGCAAATCTAGAGAATTTTCTAGGTCTGGTGATAATCCAAATTCATTGCTTCCCCTTTTCTGATTCTTGCAAGCATTATACAGAAACTGCTAAAACACAGGCTAGAACAGTAAAAGGAAACTAAAATGATGGGTCTTTCAAGTGTCTATGGTTTTCTCAAAAGACTGTGTTATTATGAATGATAAAACATCAACTGTGCTGGTAAAGGAATCTTACAAACACAGGCCTGAGTAACACTACACCAGGAGAACTTGTACTTCCTTGTTTTACCATCAGTCTATGATTTAAACCTACTTCATGAGGAGGAAATAACACACAATGAAGATAAAACTGCATATAATATGATACAGTTCATGGAAGATAAATTAGGATTATCTTTTACTTCCTAATTTTCTTTTAATGGGCTTTCTAATTATGAAACACATATTGACTATAATAAGGGACCACAAGAAACATGATCCAGTTCTTTTTAGCCCCTATAACATATTGGTGGTGGGAAAGGGGGAGGAAGAGGGGGGTTAGCCAGAAATTGGTTAATGGAA